GCAGACATAGTAACTTCTCCAACTTTACAACCATTCTCTACAGAAACAGAGCATTAACAGATGTGTGTGGGTATTTTAGAAGTTACCATTACATCCCACAGAGTAGTAGAAACTTTGTTCCCTTTCAAGCAGCTCCAAGGTTGGTAAATCCAGCTGGTGATTGCTGCGTCTTCCCCCACAAGTCCCTCGCCTTACAGGCAAACAGGTAGCATTGCATTAACAATAACATCATGGATCATTAGAATCCTGTCACCAACCTGTAACACCTCACATGCGGCAAACACTCAAGCCATCAAAATGAATGGGTACTGTGTTCCAGGGGAATCCAGCGTTGATCATCTGATCATTCACTGCCCCAGGGTACTTCACTGGCTGGCTGCTTGTAGGTTTCCAGCCACTCCATTCATGCCACTTTAGACCTGGTGTCAGGTAAAATAACAAGTCCCTATACATGAACACATCCACGACATGCAGTAACCTCAGGCCCTGTATTTTTCTCCATTATCCTCTGGTCACAGCACAGCAGCAGGAGGTAAAGTATATCCAAACCATGTGCAGTTGAAAAATCCTACTTTTAGAATGGCACCGGTGGATGCCTGGAGAATACAAGCATTCAAGGAAATCTGCAAACTATTGCGTAAGACTTTACTTAGGTGGAAAAAAAAGTCTCGCCAGGGAGTTAGTGAGACTTGTATAAACTGAGATGCTTCTGCACAGAAGTACAACAACATGGTTAAACCTCATTTCTTGAGCTTTCAGTCATGTTTAAAATGATAATTCAACATTTTAACATTGGAGAAAAGTCAGAAAACACAGAAAAGCATGCCATGGACTCTTTAATAAAATAGTCTTTGACTAGGGACATGAAACCCAGGGTCATAAATTATAAGCGGTACCTGTATGATAAAAAATATTGTATGGTCTGACAATTCAGAACCCTAATATACTGTTTGTGGATGGTATAGTAGGCTTTGTGACACCTGGTGGTCACAGGAATAACTGCAGATTGGATTTTATGATGCAGGGTAAAAACATTGCAGGGTAAAAACATTGCATTACTGACTCAACGCCACCACCATGTCACTGCAAACGCAACATTTTTGGAATTTTGGCACTTCCACAAAATTTGCATAAACACAGTTGTTAGAATCCCACTTATTAATAAGGTCACCTGACTTTCTGCTTTGCTTCCAATGGACAAGAGTGCTATGGCTATTAGAATTGTGATGTTGATTATGGTTGTGGTTTTCCTGATCAGCTGACTGCCACACTCCTGCACTTAATGGTACATCTTCACCAAGTTGCTTTGGCCTGATCTTCACAGCTCAACCTTTTCTCTTTGCCAAAAGCCAATTCATCTGGATGAATGAGCACTTTGTCACTTTCTGATTACCACACTGTGCTTAAAAAAGAACAATTAGGATAAAACCATTCATCAGAAGGTCTGGATCTTATCTTCTTGGAATAACTATTACTGAATGCCCTAACACAAAGTTTGAAATGAATCAATCAAAAGTGTCACAGGCAACACCAACACTTCCACATGCATTTCTTATGACAGTATAACAATTTCATTGGCTCAGTCCAAGGCAGGTTGCAGAGGGCAATTTATTTTCCAAGACTACGAGTCATTCTTAAAACTGCATTATTCTTATCATAAGGCAAAAAATTAGCCTGTAATCAGGAGCTATGTGTGAACGAAAGATGAGGGATTTAGTTGTGGGACAGCGATGTGATGAGAAGAGTAACACTTGAATCTGTGCACCGCATGAGGCATAGTTTGGTTGCATGGGTACGCATACTGTATGTGAACACATTTCAGAAGGGTCTGAAGGCAGTAATGAAACCTCTGGGGAAGGCAAAAGTTCAGTGCCTTGATAGCTCTAAAGGAATTTCTACATCGGCCACTGTGGGTACATAAACCCTCCCCTTATGGACCCCCTCTGGGACTTCTAGATGATGTTATGTTTTGCTTACTAAACTGCACTGAAAAAAGCTACTAAATGTGATTTTTTTGTGACATACAGTATACCCAAAAAATTGTCCACTTTAAGTGTTAAACTTATTGTACAAGTCAACAGACTTTGTAGCTGTGGTGCTCATTTGTTTTCTAATAAACCTAAATATTAAAGTGAGCTGAAGCAAGCATAGACACGTTCACAGATCATGCACAGAGTAAAATTATTAGGTATTTTTCATGGAAGACATTTTCATATGTGGGAAAAAACAAATATGTAAAAAATAATGCAAGCTCCCTGTCATGGTTTATTTGGACACTTAAATAGAATAGATCCCTCAAAATGTTTGCTATGATAAAGACTGGCAAGTTGTAGGCTGCTGAATGCTCCACTATGTTCACCAGCTAGTTGTTAACTTCTGCTCTTTGGTGCTGAGCAGGTATTTTTCATTTAAACCACCTGCACAGAGTGATGAAAACTAGAGTTGATGAGTTGGGTGAGAGTGGAACAAAACAATAAAGTTGTATGTCATAAAGCACACACACGAAAAAAGGAAGAAATAATAAAAAACCTCTCATTGTTAATTTAAGAACAGAGTCTGTTGTGTTGATAGTGCGTGAGGCAACGCGTAGGCAAAGAAATCCTTAATGCTAACTACTGCATGCTAATGGTCACAGTGACGCTAATATGCTAATGTTTAGCAGACCATTTTACCATGTTCACCAGTTTAGTTAATTGTGTTTGCATGGCAACTTTTGCTAGCTAGCAGTAGACTTGATATGAATACAAATAAACACAGGTGCCACTTATTTAATCTCAAGGAACCTGAATCAAGCACATAAAACTGTGGACTGATTAGTGTGACAACTGCAAAAAGCTGCAGTCATTTTTCTACTTAATAAAATCATCCACAAAAGCCTCAGGATGTACATTCATCATAATGGTATTGGAACAACATAGGGTGCTCAACAGTCTCCGCATATTCCTGAACCAGACCTCTGCTTGAGAAAGCAAATTTCCATGCACAGCCAAACATGAGACAGATACAGTATCAGGAGAAAGATGCCACTATATGATGGCAGTGTGGATGTTCACAATAAGACAGCAGTGGGAGCCACTACAGACTTGTTATATAAGCTCCCGAGAAAAGTGACTTCAGAATTTAGAAACCTTCTTCTCTTCAGTAGAGGCATCTTGAAATCCTGAGCACACAACCAAAAATAACCACACACTCTTGCTTTCTTTTCATTTACTTTCCTCCCTTAGCCTCGCTTCTGCGTCTAAAAACTGTCTGCTCCATCTGGCTTCAGGAAAGAGCTTGTTTATTGGTGCTGCCATAGCAACAGAGGACTATAAGGTCTCCAAGATCACAGCAAGAGGACCTGGAGCCGAGCTGATGGGAGACTGACCTGGCAGGCTCACACCACACCGGGCAATAGTTATTTAGTAATTGATCTTTTCATTAACGTTTCTTCCCCCTGCCTGGCACTGATGTGATAAATTGTGACCAGGCATGGGTGGTTAATCATTTCTGGGGTCGCACAAGCAATAAACATTGAGCGCTGTTCCTGCATTTGATAATGAGAAGGAGTGGAGTATGTCCTGATAAAGAGGGAGAAAGAGATTTAAAGAGAGGGGAGGGGAGGTGCTGGAAAGTGTATTACATCCATTATTTAGGAGATGCTTCCCCGTCACTGTGAGAGTGGAGAGAGAAAGAAGAGGTGTTGCAGGATACAAACATTTCATGTGCCTCCACATAAACTGCAGTGGATAAAACCCCATTCTTAAACAAGCTTAAAAAAATTTAAATGATATACAGTTAAGTATTAAATATACTGTGATATATGCACTATGGCTTGTAAGAGATTTACAATAAAAACCCTTTCCATGAAACTTACTGCAAAAAAGACTTTCAATACATTTGCCATATGGTGCAAGATGCCAGATCCATAGCTACGTACAGTAGCGTAGAAATGCTTTCAGATCATTGCATCAAAAGGAGCGTGACGCACCACGGCTCTGTTGAATCGCAAAGAAACTGGGCCAGAAAAGCTGATGTGTTACTGTTTGATCATGATGCTTCATCTCTGTTTTCCATTTCCTCTTATGAGCTGCACAGATTGTGTCCACAGAGTAATGAATGCACACTTTTGAACATACGATATTAAGAACCTTGGCATGTGCTGAAGAAACTTGATGATGTAAGCTCAGAAAATCCTCACAGTGCTGGTTTCAGCACACATACATATATCGACTGACTAAGTGAGGGTGCGAGTTAGGTGTGTTAACCTGAGATATTACAATTAATCAACTCCCATACTACCCTGAGGAAAGTAAAAGATTATTAAAAGTGCACTTGTCTTGTGTATCAGAGTGGCTTGGGGTCTGCTCTCATGCTGTCCCTCATCTTTTAGCATCCAACACTGGATTTTCAGTTTTCCACCACAGGTGACCAGGAATGACCACTGATCTCTCACCTCTCAATCATCATTTCCTGGGGAGAACCACCACAGCAAAGCCCTCCCCAGTGGCATCATCACCCACCTACTAAGGGTAGGGACACAGTAGGCGGGACGGAGCTTCCATGCTGTCTGTTCTCTATCAAATGACAACTGTTCCAGTGAGAGCAGAAAGGATGCAGAGTAAGGAATAAG